CGGTAGCTATCTGCCTGGGCCACGTGGTTTGCGTGTTTCAGCTCACTCGCCACTGACTTGCACAGACAGCAGCAACTTTTTTCAAGGAGTTCATCTTAATCCAGGGCATTTGCTGTCTCATCGTGGTAACATCTCTTAGCGTCTTGCCTGGTTTTAGCCTAAGGGCTAAGCAAGCTTTCCAGGGCTGCAGCTGACTGCAGGAATTCGTCCAAGATTTCCTTGCGTCCGTCTCTCATTCTTTGGTGCAGCACTTCTGTCAGCATTTTCAACCCAATCCAGGTCAGGAAGAGCCCAAATACCGGTCAGTGCGTCATCTCTGGCTTCCCAGAGCATTATCCTGTTTCAGGGCAATCTGAGAGAGAGGGCCAAAGCTCCTTTTCTGCAGCCAGGTTCCACTGTAAAAAACTGAGACTTCTGTCATCGCAGAATGGATCTAAGTTTGGCGTGAGAGACTATACCAAGGGATGAGCCCTAAGAGGGCCTAGCTGTTGCCATTCTTCCTTCACAAGCACTGGTCGCCCTCTTCCCTCATTTCCCAAGGGAGCCAGCCAAAGTTTAAATGACTCACCTGGTCTCTGCTTCTCTGAAGGCTTCTCTTTTCAGTGGAGGGTCAGGGTAGGTGCTTGTCTCTGCAACTTTTATGTGAAAAAGGAGTAGAACTTTCTGCCCACCAAGGACCTGAATCACAATAGGGAGGAAATCCACGGCACCCCCAGAGGTGAGTCAGCAACAATTTCAGTACAGGTCTAGCAGCTCTATCCGAATCCACTTCCTGTTACTCAGCCTGCGAACCACCCCCCAAATCCTCTTCTTTAAGGACCATAAAGTGGAGCACTATTTATCGCCTGGTTGGCCGTACAGTTTGGTCAGCCTGTTTGCTACGGATCCCCATGGACCGCTCTCAAGGCCTGTTCCATCAGCCTATGAGGCCCTCATCCTTCCTCTTGGAGAAAGCCTTTCCGATCTCACTGTCACAACTGTCAAAGACCGAAGAGTCTGAGATTTTACTTGACTGATCCCAACTTAACATGTTAGCTTGCCACAGTTTTGTTGACGCTGACAAAAAGGACTCTGACTCAAAGCAATGGCAGTAGGCAGAGTTCCGCACTGGCTCTGGTTACCTGAGCCCGACTTCCCACAGGCTATGCAAAGGGCACCATGACCACGGCACAGTCAGCGGTGGCATTACAGGGAAGAACAGTTAGATTGGGGAACCTGAATCTTCTCCAATGAGTGATATGCTGGTCCTTTGTTCCACAGGCACTACCTCTATCTTCTAGGGCTCTTTGCTATAAAAATACCATTGAAAAGAAAGTCCAGAACAAAGGCAGTCGGAGCCGCTGCTGGAAAGACATACAGAAGCCCAAGAGACCATACAGGATTATCTTCCAGAAGAACCAGAACTTGCTATTGGATTGGATGTGTGGGTGTGAGGGAAATGGCAAAATGAAGGATGACTCTCAGGTTTTTGGCTTGCACAAGTGGGTGGCATTTGGTGTCACTTAAATGGACATACTTGGAGGAAAGGATCAAGTTCTGCTTACATATTCATTCTGATTTGCCCACTACACATCCACAACAACATGCCAAGATAGCAGTTGAATGTATAGGTCTGGAAGCCCAGAAGATAAGTTGGAACTAGTACTACATAGATGAATAACATCCACATAGGAGGTACTTAAGCCACGGAACTCAATGAGATGGTAAAGAGGAGAGTGTCCAAAATTGAGTTCTGAAACACTCCAGCACTTAGAATTCAGGTAGAAGAGAAAAAGTCAGCAAAGGTAACTCAGACAAGGAACTGTCCAGTGAGGGGAGGATGGATCCAGGAAGTGATTAACCATGTCAAGTGTTTCTAGGAGCTTGAGGAAGATGAAAACAAAGCAGCATGCGCTGGGAGTGTTCGAAGACGCAGAACAAATAATTATAGATAAATACAGACTCTTTATAGCGTGAGTTATAGAGGGAACTGGGCAACTGAGACTATGAGGCTGATACTTGGGCTTTGAAAAAAATTAAAAGGTATCAAAGTTAAAGCGGGTATACTGAAAACTATGCAGCATAAACTATGACCAAAATGCACCTTTAGTTATGCTTCCCTGTGTCCCTTTAGTAGTTAGTGAGATTAGTCACCCCTCCACCCCTGGATGGAAATTCCAGTGGATACATCCAAACACTGACTGTTCACCTTATGTGAGACACCATCCTAGCGCTGGGGATACATCAATGAATGAAAACTCTCATGATCTTGGTAGGCCCATGAATTTGCGTACCCTTAGGTGACATAAGGTCCTACAATAATTTTCAAAGGAAAAATGTCTCTAGTAGGAAATTGAAATGCCTTGTCCTATGTAGTTATCAAATCATATCATGATGTAACATTCAGTATCATTTCCTCCTGAGGTCTGGCCTGCCTTGGAGCTGCAGTGGTTGGCTTCCCCTTTCTCCCAGCTCACACTCCCCAGTCCACCAGTTGCTATGTCCCTCTCAGGCCCGGTTAGAGAGTAATAAGGAAGAAGTAGGATGGTTCTTACATAACAGGATGACTTTGTGATCTCTAAGTCCGCAGTGGCTAAAGACACATCCTTGGGATAACCCGGAAGATGATTAAAGGGTGCTTTCACCTGATCATCAGGAAGGTCCTGCTGGCCTTTTTCTCCCGCAAGTCCTTGAGTGAGTTGGCTGGCAATTCGCTACTCTGAGTCGTCACAATCCACCTACTCCCCTCTAGCCTCCTTCTGAGAAGGACTCCAGGCCCCTCCATATGGGCCCTAGACGACCCACAATGGCTCACCTTTCCGGCATACCACTCCCGTAGCGTTTGTTTTGATAAATTTTTAGAGTAAAGGACTATCTCAATACATCAGCCAGCCTCCTTGCTCTGCTACAAAAGTGACTAGCCATTTCTCACCTTCTAGATTTTCAAGACAGGAATCAGGCTCCCGGCCAGAGCATCCTCCCAACCACAGAAAAACCTCAAACCTTCTGTGAAGGGCCACAGTGATGCCCTCCTCTATAAGCTTTAAGTGAAGAGATGGACACAATCCCCCTAAGGGGTGGAGGGCATGGAATTCACAGCACAGCTTTGGGCCGAGATCTCCTCACAGAAGCCTCCCTTCTCCTCTCCTTGTAATGTCTTAAAGTATGTGAGGAGTTTCAAAGTTATAGAAGGTTTTCTTGAAAATGTGCACATTTGAACTTGTCTCACCCTCACTGGGATATCTGATAGCTTTCACACTGGCACCACGGTCAAAACCGAGGCAGGAACAGCACAGTTCTAATATCATATTATACATATATGTAAGAAGAAAAATTATGTCAGTAATGGACTTGCTATAAATAACATAGTTATGATTTATCAAGGCTTTTCCATCATGGAATTAGATAGTAGACTTTTCTGAGAAGCTGACAAAAGAGAGAAGAGCCTGAAACTGGGGACCAAGTTGGAAAGCACTGGAGTGGTTAGGGGAGCAAGAGCTTTAAGATAATGAGGAGAGGGCTTCCCTGGGGGCGCAGCGGTTAGGAATCCGCCTGCCAATGCAGGGGACACGGGTTCAATCCCTGGTCCAGGAAGATCCCACATGCCACGGAGCAACTAAGCCCGTGCGCCACAACTACTGAGCCTGCGCTCTAGAGCCCACGACACACAACTACTGAGCACGCGCACCTAGAGCCCGTGCTCCGCAACAAGAGAAGCCACCGCAATGAGACACCCGCACACCGCAACAAAGAGTAGCCTCCATTCGCCGCAACTAGAGAAAGCCTGCACGCAGCAACAAAGACCCAACACAGCCAAAAATAAAATTAAAGTTAAAAAAAAAAGATAGTGAGGAGAGATTTACTTTCAGCAATTAAAGTAAAACCAGAGTCTGAAGAATTATGATACAAGCGTAACCTGATTTTTTAAAAATCAAAAACAGAAAGAAGTCTTCTAAAGTTATGTGGCTCTTCGAGTTAACTGTTCAGTCTTCAGCTTCCTTTGATTACAGAAGAAGGTCAGACACTTTAGGGCATGAGAAATTATTGCTATCTGGTAATAGCATCGGCTGGGGAAAAAGGAAAAAGAACTCTAAAATGACTCTAGGATTTACCATAGTTACTCTGAGTAGAAACTGATAGAAGAAATAATTAATTTCCATTTTTCATACTGAAAGTGATTAAATATGTAGAATCTAATTTGGGATTTTCCAGAAAATCTATGGGAGCTGAAGCCAGGATAAATGAGGAGAGCGGAGAAGATGAAGAGTGCGGGCAAGGGAATGAAAAGAAGAGACGATAAAACCTAGTTCTGAGGTTTGCTTTCAGGGGAAGCAAAGAGGGAGCAAGGGAAAATTCTCTGTCAAGGATGGGTGCATAGCAGCCTGGAGAACAGAAAGATGGAACAGCGAGTACCTGATGTATCAAAATTCCAGAGAGATGCTAATGAAATAATTAAAAGAGTAGGTACCCCAGAAGAAAGTTGATAACGTCCCCTAGTGTTGAATAGGGAAACCAAGAGCTGATAGAGCTCCCAGCAAGAAAGAGAAATGGAAATATGAAACAGGACCAGATTTGTTCATAATATAGTAAACCCTAAACAAGCCAAGTTGATCGACTCAAATTATCAGTTATCTGGTCACTTCATCATTGAATATTGATATTTTACTCTTTAAGATTCTGCAGACAAAAAAAAAAAAAAAAGATTCCGCAGAAATATCTTTATACAAAGTAAAGAGGAAAACAAACAAAACAAGACAAGAAAATCTGTGTGAAGTCTTGGCAAGCCTTCAGGACACCAAACACAGAGAGTGTTTGCTTTTTCCAAATCCTAAGCAATGTTTCCATGTGCATCCCAAACTCAGAAGATCCAATATAATTGCTGTATTGGTTTGGCTAGAATAAGAACAGAACTGTGGATGATTTGGGTTTTTTCAGTTTGCTCTTTTTTCAGTGCTCTCTTGAGTTGGCCACTGTATTGAATTTATAGTCAAGACACTTAACTAGGCAATCTTTTCTTATAGGTGCAGACAACGACCATGTGCATCTCGGTTAGCCTGAGTGGATTCGTGGTCCTGGGCTGTTTGTTTGCACCCAAGGTGCACATCATCCTGTTTCAGCCCCAGAAGAATGTGGTCACACACAGACTGCACCTGAACAGGTTCAGTGTCAGTGGAACTGGGACCACGTATTCTCAGTGTAAGTATGGAACTTGACACTGACCCCTTCATATATAGTAGGGAGCAGGCTAGAAGGAGAAGCAACAGACATAGACAGAAACAGGCAACACATGTCCATCCCCATAATCAATCTCAATTCAATTTAGTAAGTGCAGGTTTGATCATTGTGTGCCAGGTACTGTGCTGGGTGCTAAGGATACAGTGATAAGCAGAAGAGGTCTAGGTTCGGTTTTGGCAGTACGCGGTCTAGCAGGGATGACAGACATTAAATCCATAACCACAAATGGGATTTTTGACCAAGTTGTAGAGCCAAAGAGCCAAGTTTCTAGTCCTGACTTTGCAACTAGGTCAACAGGTAACCTTGAGCACATCACTTTACTGTTTCCTTCCTTAGTTGGACTAGAGGGTTAGACTAGACTGGTGCTCTGTAAAGTATGTTCTGTGTCACACACATGCTGAAGGTGCTTCATAAAAATTAAAAGAGGAAGATAAGCAAATAAGGTGGAAAATGCTACATCCTAAATACCCACTTGGAAGTTCAAAGCACCTCCTTTGACATGAGCATGAAAAAGGTTTTTCAGAATCTCTACAGCAGGGAAACCTGTTTCACTTTGTTATTTACAGGTCCTTAAAAGTAATTGATCACCGTAAAATCAACTGCACAGCCCATGGAATACACTTTGGAAAACGCTAGAATAGATCTTCCTCCTATTTCAAAGGCACAATGTTTTTTCAGCCGAGGAGGCAGTGCTAACTGAAAGATACCAGGGTAACTCCCAGCCAGAATTCTCTCACCTCCTGGCCTGCAAATATCTTCAACAGTAGCCTTGGAGAACCATTTAAGTCTTTAGAGGCATCTAAAACACGAAGGTAGCTAAAGGGGACAACCTTTTAAGCCCTTTCCAGCTAATCTATGGTATAAAGTAGGAGAAATGCACTGACAGAAGGATGAGGGGGAAGGAGGGGAGAGGAAGGGGAAGGGGGGTGGGGGGAAGGAGGCCTGGAAGTGACAGAGACAAATGACTACTTCACAATTTTGCCCCAAGCCGATTAGAAAGGAAACTTTGAAATAGCTCAGCGTCACAAAGTGAGCAATCGCATTAGTGCCCCAGTTTCTCCAACAAAGTGCACAATTTTATAGGGCTGTCCTTTTCCTGGCAGACAAAGGGAAGACTGATGGCTGACAGCACGTGTTCCGTGATGCGCTGTGTATACCACTCCTGCGTCTCAGCTGCTATAGAGATGGAGACCTTATTGCATTTTCAGCTAAATTTCCAGGTGTCACGAGGGCTGAGTCCCAGGACCTGGTAAAGCTTGTGAAATAATTTTCCTTGAACCTTAAAGAAACCTGCTTATTTCTTGAGCAAACAAATCTCTTTTCCAGCAGCTGAACTATAAAAGCTAGCTAGTCCAGACCAGAAAGAACTGGCATATAACTAATAATAATAACTAATAAAAACAACAATAATACAGCTAAGAGGAACTATCATTTATTGTTTCCTTTGTGCTGGGCATTGTGCTAAGTACTTCATACATGCGTGCACATGGGATATAGCTTATTTAACGCTCACAACTCTTGGGGATCTACCCAAGGTCACACGTATTGAAAGTGGCAGAACCAGAAATTAAGAGCCAGTTTCTCTGATTTCAAAGCCAGGGCATCAAACCACCTTATCGTGCTACTTCATCCAGAAAACAAGCCGGGAAATTTCCCATGAACTACTTACTTGGTAGACTTTCCAGGGAGAACAAAAGGAAAATTACCCTAGGCTATGCAGCATGATTTACCTCTGGGCAGAAAGAGTCTTGTTGATAGCTTAGAGCTCTTCTTGGCTGTTATTAAAACAATTTAGCAGAGTCCCTAAGTCGTCCACAGACACTTTTCAGATCTCATACATCTGAACCTCAGTAATTTAGATATGGTGGCATTTTCTAACGTATGTACTAGGAATTAATAAATTCCTGAAGAGTTAACAAGGACACTTTACCCAATGGAGTCTCCCCTCAGAATTTCAGAAACGTTCACTTACACAAAAACAATGTACTGCAACTGCCATGGACCTGCTTAAGCGGTCACTCAGTATCTAATCTGCTAGTGGCCCAACTAATACTTCAAGGTAGGAGTCTATCCAGCCCAACATTTTAGGACTACTTTGTTACTCAGTGAAATTTAATTTTTTTTCCTTAAAAAGGTCTAAATTTCGATCTCATTTTCCCCACAATTTTCCTCTAATTAATCCAAATCAAAGAAGTGGCAGTAAATTAACAAAGTGAAGTATTTGAGTGGTATCTCTAGGCATTTCGAAGTGCGTAAGTAACGAATCCATTGATCTTTTATTTTTATTTGTAATTCTTTATCTTTTACTCACGATAGTTTAATATTTGTGGGCTCATTTTATCCCATGTGTACAAGATATCACAAGTTCTATTTTATAGGTGAGAAAATAAGAGAAGTTGCTTCTCAAGGACATACAATGATTCAAGAGTTGACACTGGATTTCCTGACTTGTGATTAGTATCCTTCCTATTTTAATAAATTGGAACCACTGTCATGAAATTCATTAAAGTCATTAAATGCCTGAATGCCTTCTATACACCAGAAATTTCTAAGCACAGTGGTGAATAGGACAGAATCCCTGGTCCCAGGAAGGTTAGTGTCCAGGGCAGCGTTTTTCATACTGTAGAATGTAATCCATTAATGGGTCATGAAATTTATTTAGCATGTTTGACCAGCATTTTTTAAAAACGGAAATAGAGGGACTTCCCTGGTGGTCCAGTGGTTAAGACTCTGCACTCCCAATGCAGGGGGCACGGGTTCGACCCCTGGTCAGGGAACTAAGATCCCGCATACCGCACGGCGTGGCCAAATTAATTAATTAATTAAATAAAATAAAAACTGACCTGGACATTTAAAAATAATAATAATAAAAAATATAAAAATAAAAGAGAAGAGAATAAAGTATCTTAGAGTGCATCATATGTAACAGGGTAAATAGTATTTCACCAAGTTTGCTCAAGTTTACGTATGGGTACCAGGTTCAGGTAAAATATTTATTTCTATGAACTGCAATCAAAGATATTTGAAAGCCACTTGCCTATGGGATCTAGTTCTATGTATAAACGTGTTACTGACCCACTATGATGAAAATTTAAGCAACTGGTTTCATATTTCAGTGCCTGTTTCCTCCATTATAGATTCAGCTCAATTAATATCCATCTCCCTCCTAAATACTGAGAAGTACGCTGTTTAAAGAATCAAGAAAAATCCTTAAACTGCTCTGCATTCATTAAGTACAGCGTATGTTTTTCTCAGGTTGTACATAATTTATGTTCTTCTGGTTAAGTATTTGCAGGCATTTTATTCCAATGGATTATTGTTCCCAGTATTGCTGCTGTTTTTCTGACCTAGTGCCTCCAGAGGTTAAAAACAAAAACCCCATGTATGGACGAGAGTCAGCTGGTATAGCAACGGAGTTACCCCCCCGCACAGACACATTTAGTTATCTATTCCCTCATAACGAACTTCCCCCAAATTTAGTGGCTTAAAAGAAATCCCTTTTGTTATCTCTCTTGATTTAGTGGGTCAGGAATTCAGGCAGTCCACGTGCTCTGCAAGGCCCTGACTGGGGTCCTTCTGTGGTGTCAGCTGAGACTGAACTGATCTGGAGGGTCCACAGTGATTCACTCTCATACATGGTGCCTTGGTGGGATGCCTCTCCACATGGGACCCAGACAGCATGATAGAGCCCATCCAGATTCAAGGGGAGGGAGGCAGACTCCACCGCTCAAAGAATTTGTGGCCATTTTTATTATGTTGCACTCTCCAAATCCCAAATCCAACCGGTACCGCACTCTTAGCAGGGATTAAGTGACATGACACACTTAAGCTTATGCAATACCAAGAAGTCACCTTGACTGGAAGCTGCGGCCATATTAATTCAGGGTTAATTCTCTGGCAAGAGAGTAGCAGAGATACCACATCACTCTGGAGTCTAAGTGAGCTCCCTGACAGCAGCTAAGGTGGCTGACAGCAGAAAGAAGTTCAGTTAGCGGGTTTTAAAATCTGAGCAGTTGCTCCAAAAAGATAGAAAAGCATGGCCAAACTCAGAAGCAGGCATGGAAGAAAGAACATCGTTAAGGACATCTTGGAAAACTCACCATTTGAGAAATGTTTACATATTGCTGTATGCAAAAGAGACCAATTTTAGTTGTATCTGATTAACTACATACAGTGGGAGTCAGAATAATAAAAATGAAACAGTAATTTTTCTCCACTAAGTGTACCCATAGGCCAGTTGTCCCCAATATTTGTGTATTAAAAAAAAAAAAACTCTTTGAAATGGAGATTCCCAGGCCCCACCCTTTGTATCATGGGGTCTTGGTAAAGGCCAGAAGTGTGGTCGGCAACAGATACTCCAGCTGGTTCAACAGAGATGGTCCAATGAAAACGGTTTGAGAACCTTGGCCCAAACCATCCTGTCTGCTTCATCCACTGCTATCAGTGCAGAGCAGGGAGCTCCACTTAGATGCCCTCAAAGAGAAAGGAGGCCCTGGGTTCAGAGAAGGAGAGGCCCTTGAAGTCCCATCCTTTGCTTCATGATGCCAAGAGTCACATTCCGGCACAGTTATTTCCCCCATTGCTGTCCGAACCCTCCACAGAAGGCATTTCTCCCACAGAAGCACCTGGCCACTCAAGAAACATTTACTGAAGGTGGGAATGCACCTTCCAATAGCAGTAGAACTCAGAGACCCTGAAATCCTAAGTTCATATTTATAATGCTGCTCCCACACCCACACACATAAGTAAACATCCTTTGTATTTGGAAGAGGAAAAAAAAAAAAAAGAGGTCATTCTTTGTTTTGTTCAGCTTTAGAAGCAAAGGAGTTTCCCACAGCTGATTCCCAAAGACAGGCAATCAAAAACGTATGCTGAGAATCTTAGCATCTGCAAATTCAATGATTTTTTCTTTTTTTAATTGAAAGCCTTCCCTTCAGCACTACACCTGACAGCATCTTGCT